GGCTCGAGGACAGCGCGGGCTCGAGAGGAGTGAGGCTAAGCCTCCGTTGCCGGCCAAATGATGGGAGGGGACAGCAAGTGACCCCGGCGCGCAGGTGCCGGCGGCTGCCGAGGAAGTCAGCAGCGGAGGAGGGCGACGCGTTGTCCCCGGAACCCCCACCTCCATCCCACCCGCCGCTCTCCTCCTTCGTCCAGCTTTATTCCCGGATTCTGTCAGAACCCAACGACCTCCACGCCGCCCGCCCGAGCGCGAAGGTGATGCCAGCTCTTACCATAGGAGAGGACGCCGCGCCGCTAGGAGGCGGCTAGGGTGCGCGCGGGAGACTCCGAGGCGAGCGCCACCACCGCCGCGGGAGCCCGGGGAGTCACAACGAGGCAGCCCGCGGGAGCGCTGCCTCCAGAACCGTCGCCCCACCTCCTCTCCCGCAGGATTTTGCGCCGGAGCCTGCAGTCTCCGCGCGCTGACTGGAAGAGCGAGCGGAGGGGCGGGGCGCCCGGCTGGGTGGGGCCGAACGCTGGCCGATCTAATTGGCATCTGTGTGCCCAATGGGACCAAGGATGCTTCGGGCTATGGTTAGACTGACATTCTTCCTAACCAGTAGCAGTAGAGAGGCGGGCCCAGTGGCTTCTTTTATTGCGGCGTTTTCCACAAACTTAAACGTACGAAAACGTCGGTTGGTTTGCGCTGACGGCCAAATGACCCAATTACCGCAGGGAAAAGGGCTCTGACTCAGATTGGCGTCCTCTCTACCTATAGGGTAGGCCTAGGGCTCTGAGAGCCTGCCCCGGATGTGGGCGCGGCCCTGAGGTAGACTTGAGAGACAGCCTCCACCGTGGTCGTTTGGAGAGGCGGAACTGAGCTCGTTTTGTTGATTATCATGTGATAGGTTCTTGATTTAATGGAGAAAAAAGGGTGGAAAAGGCCAAGGATCCAAACTGGGGGATTTCTTGATCTTCGCGCCCCTCCCCTCTCTCCAGCCAGCGGCGCTGCCAGGTGAGTCTGGGGCTCCAATGGGCCGGTATCCCCCACAAGTGAACCTGCCCCCCCATCACACCTTCTCCCCGTCCCCGCCTACCCCCTTCAGTGCCCGGGCGCTGGCCTCCGGATGCCTCCGTGGGCTGTACCGTCGCTCCTCATTCCTTCACACTCCCGGGCCCAAACGCATATAGACTTGCTTGGCACTAGGCGTCTGTGTGCATTGTGGGTCACATCGTGCAAAACCCGCATTAAACTTCAAAATTACCAGGCCCACAGCGCAGAATAGGGGGAGTCAGGGTAGGACGCCGATGGAGGACCCTTGGCGTTTGGAGACGGAGGGCAAAGATAGTTTAGGAAGTTCTAGGGACAAGCAGGCCCTAAAATCAGATAAATTGTCAGCAAAACGATGTTCCTTTGAAGGATGGTCAAGTTGGCCAAGGCCGTTGCAGCAGGAACCTTTCGAAAGTGACTCATTATTAAGAGGAATTCTGTGTTGTGGGCTCATTAAGCAAAACTGTCTTTGGAATGGAGCGAATTCACCTGGAAGTGTATTGGCAGTCGGGAGACACAGCTGATACCGAGACGCTATAGCTGTGGCTGGGCCCTTTAGACTTCCATCTAGGGGCAACACAGGTTTTAACAATGGATAAGGAAGCGCATGAACTTAACCATCTCCCAGGTGTCAGAAATAATCACCTCAAATGGGAGATACTTTAGTTGAACAAATTTTTGTTTTGGAGCATGCAACCCACTCCCTTAAGGAGAAAGAATAGTAGTAGTAGGAAATACCATAGTTTAAATTAATGAAGATTAATAAATAATGTCAGGATCGTATATCATCATTACACCCCAGCATCCACGATCCTTCAAGCATCATTGAAAAATCAACAGAGTGCTTCCCAGTTCAGGGCATTAAAATGTGCCAGTGCATACAAAACTTCGTTACAACCCATACGATAAAACTTGTAGTCACAAACTGTGTTCTTAGCAGCCTTTCCACCTCCAGTCTTAAAGTACATTTCCAGTGCAGCTACCATTCCTATGACCAATTACTACTCCTGTATGAGAAAAAAAGAAGCTTGACTCATTTAATGGCTGGCTGACAGAAAAGTTATGTTTAAGCAAGTGTTTTATCATAAGCTTTTTAAAGGTTCACTAAAATGGCCAGATAGACTGGAGATTAGGATTGAGCAAATTCAGTTTACAGGATGAAATCCATCTGTAGTTATTAATCAATACACACCTCTCCATATCTTCCAAATTCAGTCCCACATCCCACTCCGGTAGCTTCTGGCTAGGAAAGGAGGCCAGCACAAAAAATGCCTTCTTGGGAGCAAAAGCATCTGTTTCTCATACTGCAGTAATGAAGTATCTGCCAGCTAAGTAAACAAATGGAGTGCAAGCAGATGGGTGTAAGGGAAAGAGAGGAGTTAGGAGACTTATAGGTTACGGTTGAAATAAAACAGATATATACTCTTGCACCATGATAGCTACACATTGTTTTATAGTAGAGATGCAGCAATCAAAATTAGTTCTAAAATACAATTATTTAAACATGATAGTCTAGGGCATTTGATTCATTTAGCCAGTTCTTTCACCTTTTCCTTGTTTCTTATCTTCTTGTATTTTTACTCTTATCTATGTTTCTGTTACATCCCCATTACCTTCTGGTCTTTTCGTGTTTCCATCAAGTGTCCTCTCTCCAGTCTGTCACTCCCCAGTGGCTTGTTTCCCTCCATTTACAGTCATACTTAGATTCCTACTTTCCTGAAAATTTCTTCTTGATCTTTCCTTTCTCACCCTCATTATATGTCTTGTCTTTCATCTTTTCTTCTCCAAATGTTTCAAAGGAATAAAATGTCAACTGTTAGCATTTCATTATTTTCTGTTAACTCCTCACCCAACTATATGCAACCTGGCTTCTGATTTCCCATTCAGTTTGCCCCTTTTCCAAATGGTCACAAGGTTGATATAAAAAACTTTAACAAGTATCAAACATAGTGTAAACCCATATATGAAGATTAAGTAAATGCTTATACTTAAGTATTTTAGATTAATGCATTCCCAATCAGAATTCCAAGTTTTAAAGAATTAATGGTTTTAGCTGAAAAAAATGAAATGGCAAAATAGTAGAAAATAATCTGAAAAAGAAAATAGTAAATAGGTACGAGGCCGCCCAGATATTAGAACATATCCAGTAACAGTCATACAGTACTAATGCAAAATAGAAATAGAGATCAGTAAGACAGCATAGGGCTACAAGAAATAGCCCCAAGTTTTGAATAATTTAGCATCTAATAATCACAAAACATCAAAAGTTTATTAAGTGATCTTACTAAATAGCAAGTAGTAAAAAATCATCTATACCACAAACCAAAAAAATGAGATCATTAAAAAGAAACATTTTAGACTAAAAAAAGTTATTTAAAAGAATTTTAATGAGAAAATTTAAAAAGTACAAGACCCATAGATTAAACTAAGTGAAAATCCAGTGTTATCAATATTATTTAGCCCATGACATCTTTACAATTGTAATTCTACTTAATTTTTATTAACTGGACTCTCCTTATTAAAACTCTCCTCACTTGACTTGATACCACCTCTTCCTTTTTCACTTTGTGCATGCTTTTTCTTAGTAGTCTTTGAAAATGAAAATGTATATATGTACAAAGGTACAAACAGAGCTTGACGACATCCCTGAGATGCAGGAATAAGATCATAAGTACCTGGACTTGTGTGACAGCAATGAAAAGGAGCTGACTGTTCTTGAGACATTTTGAATAGAACTTACACCCAGTGGATATACAAAAAAATTGCATTTGGTCACAGGTATAAGGAATGATGGATATAATGTCAAAGATGGCTACAAGCTTTATAGATTATTCAAAGAAGAATGATAGAATGTTCTAAAAATTAGGAAATCTCTGATTGGGAAAGGGCCAGCTTTGTAAACCAGGAATAGAAATGATCTTTTTTTCTGGTATCAAAACAATCTTGACTTTTTTTCCTTCTCTTAGGGCATATTTCCCTTTTTTCGACTCCGCAGCAGCCTCTTTAAACTGTTTAAATGAGAATGTCCTTGGCTCAGAGAGTACTACTCACCTGGCTTTTCACATTACTCTTCTTGATCATGTTGGTGTTGAAACTGGATGAGAAGGCACCTTGGAACTGGTTCCTCATATTTATTCCAGTCTGGATATTTGATACTATCCTTCTTGTCATGCTGATTGTGAAAATGGCTGGGCGATGTAAGTCTGGCTTTGACCCTCGACATGGATCACACAATATTAAAAAAAAAGCCTGGTACCTCATTGCAATGTTACTTAAATTAGCCTTCTGCCTTGCACTCTGTGCTAAACTGGAACAGTTTACTACCATGAATCTGTCCTATGTCTTCATTCCTTTATGGGCCTTACTGGCTGGGGCTTTGGTAGAACTTGGATATAACGTCTTTTTTGTGAGAGACTGACTTCTAAGGACATCTCATTTTATTGCTGTTCAACAAGCTATCATTAAAGTGTTCTGAATCCTTGCAAGCTTGAAGAATGCCAGAGAACTGAGAAAAATACCAAATGTAGTTTTATACTGCCTCCATAAAGTAATCTTGGTGAATCATGGACTTCTACCCAAAGCTTAATAATATTTGAGTTGTTAATTTCCTTATTGATCCTATATAAATAAAGTTTGTTTTGGGCCTTATTTTTCTACTTGACTCTTGAGTAATGTGTTGTATGTATGTGGTCAATATTTAAAGTAATCCTTTAAATAAAACCTTTAATCTACATAGTTGGGTAGAAATTTAATATATCATGGCCCCATTGTGACAACAGTAAATGGTCATTTGTGCTTCTAAATTATGAAGGAAAAACCTAGTTACTAAAAAAAATCAGGGGTGCAAATAACATTTACATTCAGAAAGAATATGAGAGTTTGACACTTTTTATCTAGGCTAAGTTCACTGTTACCGCTGCCTTCTACTTGGAACAAATAAATTACAAGTAGCATATTAAAACAGAGCAGGAGCTTGCCTGTTTCTCATGTTAGGGAAACCATACATCCTGGTTATGTCAGCACAGGCCAGTTTATATTTATTGTCCAGAGATCTCAAGGAATTAGTTCTCCCTTCACTCTTAGAAGTGTCTTGGCTTGAGAAATTATGTCACCCTACTAAGGTAAGGTATATAACCTTTTTTTTTTTATTACTTTTGGGAGAAGTTAATTAGGTTTATTTTTTTAGAGGCGGTACTGGGGATTAAACCCAGGACCTCGTGCATGCTAAGCATGCTCTCTACCAATTGAGCTATACCCTCCCCACCTTGTAACCAATTCTAATAAAAAACAGGTGGCAGTACTTTTAAGCATTCCAAAGGGTCTTAAGTGTCCTATAATCCTAAAGCAAGGTGATTGTTCTTATCCTGTACAGCCCTCACTTTTAGCTTTGGGAGGAATCCAAAATAGTACTTTGTT